TTGAGTTTTATTTTCCTTGTTTCTTGTTTCTTTTTTCTTCCATAGTGCCAGAACAAGAGTTTATTAAATTTTAAGACTTAAATGATTAAAATATGTATAAAGCTTAAGTTTCTTGATAATTGCTACAGATCTTACTATAGATACTGCTGTGTATACTTGCATACATGTTTGATGCAGGATCTTAAAAATGGATTTGGACCTGAAATGTTGAGGTACCCACCAGAAATGGTAGCAAATATGTATCATGCTGCTCATGTTTAAGCAATCAGCTTATTCAAAACAACTTGAAAGCTACTTTTTCCAAGAAGAATTTGCACACTTAATTTACTGGTATGGCTGAAAGTTATCTGATAGGGTAACAAGCAGCTGTTCATAGGAGCTATAGCATAAATAGAGATGATGGAAGAGCTCTATAGGAAAAAAAAATATGAGAAAAGGACTAGCACTTTCTTTATGTATTGTATCATTCCTTAAATAAGTTTTTATTGGCATGTAGTTCATTAACCAGATGTATAGCCCACAAAAATGTGCCATTCAGCCAGTGCCATTTCTGCCTAAAGGATACAGCTCTTAAAGCAGAGAGCACTGCATGAACACTCCAGTTTTCTTATCTGACAGCCAGAATTCTTTCCAAAATCCAGATTTAGTCCTCACATACCACTGCAAAGATTGGACCATCCTGACACATTTTCACTAGTCACAGGTAATAAACCCTACAGCAGTATCTGCAATGCAAAACTTTTTACTGGTTTGCAGCTCTAAAGCACATACACATAAGCATGGAGGATAGGTTCCCCTACATTCTCATCTGATTGTTCCACTGGTTCAGTGTGGTGTATTTACCCTGAAAGATCTATTTTAATTTTGCAAAAAAATCTCAGTCAGAATATTTATGAAATGTTTTAGATAGAATTCCATAAGAGCTAAAAGTACTACTTTTAGAGAGTAGAAGTGGATACCAAAGAATATGGAATATTCTCACTTTAAAAAAAAGTATATATTTGGGTATACTTTTACACTTTGTTAGTTTATCTTCCATTTTATGTATATTTGTTACTAAAATATGACTGCCTCTGTAACTCTTCCTCATAACAGCCATAATACCTCGTTTTGCTAGACTCGTTCAAAACTGAATCTGAAGCTTAACACTTCAATTAACATGATGAACTGATAAAGCAAAATTATGAGGAAAGATCATAATTTTAGACAGGTTCTTCCCTGGATAAGCCAAGTTTCTCCAAATTGTGGAGCAAGTGATCATGGTCAGTTTTATTTCCATTCCCTTAGCATTCCTCAAGCACACAGCACTACAAATGGTTTCTGTACACTGTACGTTGTACTCCTTTGGAAGAAAATTAGCTGATCTTCATTTGAACAAAAAGAGAAGTGTGCTAACTTGGCAGCTGGATAAGTGTTACCAGCTAAGGAAACTTCAGTTACTGGAATATTTTAGAGCAGTTATTTCTCAAACACCTCTGCTACTTTCAGCCAAATATTATTTTTTTTCCAGCATATTCAGCATAACTACCAACACTGTCAAAATCTATTTAAAGCTGTGCTTCATGTGTTATCTTCCATTTGGATTGCAAATATCAATGAGAAACAAATTATTTTTGCCCCATCTATGGCTACTCAGTATCGCAGACTTGAAGTATGAAGGTATCTGTTTAATTTTTAAGGATAGAATAGTACATGTTGTTTTAGGAAAATGAATTGCTTAGAGTAGATCACTTCATTAAATCTCAGTTTATAAATTGTGCAGATGAACATTCCCACTAGCCATAATGCATTAAATGCCTCAATTTCACAGAAGAACAGTAGATCTGCTTTCAGTAAACCGCACGAAGGGCAGCTACTGCCAAAGGTGTATTAAAAGGTAAATATAAAAAGGACAGTCAATCAATGGATATACTTGGGAACAGTTATCACATTTTCAGTTCTTATCTTAATCTAAAACTAATTTAGCATAGATAATGCAAGTTATAGGTATATAATTTTCAGCATATCTGATCAGCATAATCTCCCTTCCCTTATGATCGCATCATCCTTGGAGAAAATTAGTTCCTATTCCCTGTGCCAAAATGTTCTCTAAGACTAGTTAGTCAAGTTTAGTTAGGGAGAAAACACCACAAAAGAAAGCACCCAAGAATTGATTTTTACCATCCAGTATCAATTTCCAAGCATGGTCATGCTTGGAAGGTTAAAAGTCTCCCTTGGTAATGCAGCATTAGTTTAGACTCGAGTATGGCACACTATATGTGAAGAGTTAAGTATTATTAGCCCTCACTTACAAGTAGGAAACTGAAACATCACAAGGATGAACAAGGTGGTGGAATCGCAGAGGGAACCAGCGGTGCTAAGAAGCAGGTGCAGGCTCACTTTGGGCATTTCAAGTACTAGACACGCTTCTTGCACTGCTGCTTGAGGAGCAGTAACAGCAAGGCAGCTTAGCTGGGGAACAGCAGGGCTGGTGGCCACAAAAAAAAAAAAAAAAAAACATGAGAACAGAAGCGAAATGGTGGTGTTACCATGTTTCCGCTATGAAATTATTTCATATGAGACACCAAGGTAACCACAACAGAAAAGGTTTTGGTCGAGGAAGTCCCTAATAACTGTAGGTTAAGCCTACTTTACAGACGTAAATAATAGGCAAGTTTTCACTATTCTGACCATTTAATTTTCTTAAACTGATCATTTAATCCTTAGACAAGGCTCTCAGGCACAGATTTATGGCACAATAAATACATATAGAGTTCAAGCATGTAATTTTAGAAACATTAAAAACGTGGACGATGGGTAGCAAGTTTTTCCTATATTCTATCACAAGTTTTTCCTATATTCTATCACAACCAAAGCAAACAAAATCTAGAATTTCTCCTCTATTTAATAAAATAACATTTATGTATGCTTAGATAGAAATAGCCTGCCAAGTTGCATAAAACTGATATGGTACCCAGAAGCTGGTTGTGAAATCTTGTGTAATTGCTTAATGCTAGATAACCAATTCCAGGTCATAATCAATCACAAGTCTAGATCCCTTATACCACACAATATTTCTGCGGTGCTTTCGATCCCTACTGTAATAGGATTAAACTCATAGGAATACACTCCAGAAATAAATCAGTCCAAATACATACATTCAAACTGGATATCATTTAAGCATCATTTAAATCAAGACTGGTCACATAGAACATCACAATAAGCATTTTCAAGCTCTCGTTCCATGCAAAAAAAAAAAAAAAGCATTTTTTTCCCATTTGTTTCAATATTATGCATTGAAAATGTCAGGAAATTAATACTTTCATTAACTTTACAATTTGAAATGTGTCATGAAATAAAATTTTAAAAAATTATCCCAAAGAAAAAAAAATTTAAGAACTCTACCATTTCACAGTCCCTTATCTCAAAGGATAGCCACTAATTTTCAGTAGAATAAGCTTGAAAACTTAATTCAAGTATTTCTGTTGTTTGGTGGAATATGAAAGAGTTAAGACTCCTGAAGGAGATTCTGTATCCTGCCTATTACCAATACCACCTTCTGCAGGAATGGAGCGCAGGAATTGGGAGGACTATCTGCAGAGCACGCTAGTACTTAATCCCATAGCTCTGCTTAGTCAACATGCAGGTAAACTAAGGTTATCACAGTACCTCAAATGTCAGGGGGTACAGATGATGCTTCACACGTCCCTCAGATTAGCTGCAAAATGTGACCACCTCCAGCCATCCCAGCACCTACGCAGAAGCAGGAAAAACAGAAAACAGATGAGTTCAGGCACAACAAAGGTCACGATGGTGCAAAAACGCCATACCAGAGCCCTAAACAGTGTCCTGACAGTGTCCTCCATCAGGAAAGACCACCTCAGGAGAGGCCACCAGCTGGGCCCAAACAATGGAGCCACCTGCAGCACAAACGGCCATGCGGCCCGGGATGCCTCCCCTGCCTGGCATCCTGCCACGTTGCAGCGCCCAGCACTAACCTTGACATTAAAACGAACCAACACAGATTTAAGTGGCTAAGAGAAGTCAGAGAGACTGATCAAGACTAATTTTCTGCATACATCTAAGACATAAACCAGATGGACTGGAAGAAAACTCCAGATCATCAAGGACAAGGTTTGGGTGAATAGTATTTGACTCCTACTACCTTAGAAAGCAAAATTTTAGCGTAGTGACCTATGAGCTGCTTATTTCAAGAAAGTAATACTTTCTTTTCCTCTGAAAAGACAGTATGTAAAACTCACAGGAAGATGGCAAGCTGTTAAAAAAAGAAAGTACAGCATTTGCTATGTTCAGAATTCCTAGGCGTATTTCTAACCACCATATCTGGCAGAATAGCATTAAAAAGATATTAAATTAGGAGCACTTTTAAACTTAAAAAAAATACACACACGCACACACACACACACACACACACAAGTTCAACATATCAACATAGGAGGTTACTTTTTTCCAAGGATGGAAGGATCCACTTTTCTGACTGGAAAAAAGGGACAGATCCAGGGAAGAAGGGAATGTGTTTTTCCCCAGCAAAGCCAATAATAATAATAAAAAAAATCTTAGATGGTTCTGAGCACATAAGCAATGGAAAATTTGATGCACATAGATGACATTGATTCACCCTGCCTGAGCAGGAGGGCTGGACTAGATGATCTCCTGAGGTCTTTTCCAACATCAACCATTTTGTGACAAGAGTTTTTTCAAGAAAGGTGCTGGTTTGTACCATCAAGAGTAATTTCTCTGATCGCCTTGTTGTCAGCTTTGTTAAGTATTTTAATGTCAGCCACAGTACTGACAGCAATCGAGTAATTCACGGGAATCTAATTTTTGTTGGGTGGGACTATGGGACATACAGGACTGAAAAAAGATCATATCTCACAATATCAGGCTCAATAACTAACCAGGAAAAGGAAGCAGTCTGCAGAAAAAAACACAAATAACGTAGAGAAATGTTATCTACATTGAGACTGAATGTGAGGACCACATCGAGCTAGGCTGAATGAGAAGGTGGTAATATTTTAAATAAGTGTTTTCCTTGATGAAGTGCTAGAACTGGCTTAAAGAGCAATAGAAATTCTGATTTACAACCATAAAATTTTCTGTCTTTCTTATGTATTTTTAATACACAAACAGATCTCTAAACAAAAAAGAATTGAATGCAAAATGTAATACATTGAGAGTGAAAATTTCATCATATTTCTCAGAAATCTTCCTTCATTGCAATGGTAAAAGGTTAAGCAGCACCTCTGTAATGGCGTTAAAAAAAAAAAAAGCAACAGAAACAAAAATCATCTAAACAAAAATCCTTGATCCTTGAATCCTTTAAAAATTATACATACATCAGAAAATAAGGAAAGGTATTTTCCAGGCAAAAGCAAAAATAATAGGTAACATCAGTCAAGGTTAAAATAAGTTATTCTATATGTTCTTAGTCAAAGTGAAATCTGTAAGCAGGGATCTCTCATGATTAGTATCATTAAATAAAAGGGCCGGATAATTTGTTACATGAAAGGGCTTTACATTTTGCACCATAAACACACACCAACAAGTTCTAACATCCCGTTTTTCAGAAAGAGCTTGCTCACTTTTTAATGAGTTTGAGGATCTGATTGCTTGTCCAATTTATACATAATTCTGCAAGGCCTCTAACATTGATGGGATTTGTGATTTTCAGAAGATCTCTTAACCTCACAGAAAAATGACCAATAAGCCACAATTCTCTTTTTCAACTATAAAGGGGTGGCTTCAACTGCAATAGAGTTCTGGAGTATCTAAGGCAGCTGTTGACTGAAATGATCTAACAAGGACTACTGACAAATTCCTGTTTCAAAACACTTGGTAGGGTATTAGCAAGTGGAAATGATCTCCATGTGACAAAATCAGACTCCTACTACAAAAGCAAAGGGAAAAATTATTCCAGTAGCTTTTCCAAGATATTTTGAAATCCCACTCAACAGCAAAAAAGATTTAGCTACTTTAAGGGCAACAGAAGGGAAATGTCCTAATTTCAGTTTACCTAATTGTACTCAGAACATTTTGTTTCACTCTTGGTTGCAAGTGGTGATAGCACACAGACCGCATGCAGTCAGTTTTAAGGCAGGCAGGATGGAGCACTCCACTGGGTATCTGTGCAGACATCTGCTCCCTAGGGAGAGGGCTGACCAAAACTAAACCACCACTTAGCTTGAATGTCTGGGATTTGCATAGGCTCCAGTGCCCCCATATGCACTCACTGCTCCCCTCATTAAATCAAATAAACCTTTCAAGGTTTAAGTCTTTTACTGGACCACATTTCTGTTCTTACAGATTCGGCAATCTTTGCCTCTTTGATATAAAAATAACCAGAACATTTTCTTAGCAGCGCTAAGCTGAGTAACAGTTGATATTTCTTTTGGCATGCATAGTTTTATGTTTTATGCTGCATTATGCTTACAAATATATTTTTGGACAGGATAGCTTAGAAAGCGCTGCAGTCGAAGGGCAAATACAGGAATTAATACACTTTCTTGGGTCACAAAGAAACCTGCATCATTGTAAAGCATGTAAACAGACAAGAAGTCAAAATACAGACAAGAAGTCAAAATTTTCTAATTAGGTACTAATATTGCACTTGGCATGCAGGATAGATCTTATAGTATCCAGAAGCAGTGTTCAGGCAGTCTTTTGTGAGTGAAACATCATATTCCCAGCTACAGTTAATAAGCACCTACTTGAACTGAATGTTCTGAAGAATGGTTTAGTCAATGTTCAGGTAAAGTATTTAGAGGTCTAGGTGGCAAGAAAACCAAAGCACTACCAGTTGAAACTCTGGCTCACATACCAACTACATAAAAGGGAAGTTTCCCTGATAAATTAACAGGGAAACACCAAGTACAACCTGAGAAGAAGAAGAAGAAAAAAAAAAGTATTATGGAATTATTGAATTATTGTAGCCAGATCTCACTGAAGCCAGTTCATACATGAGAGGTTAATCAACTTCAAAAGAGCAAAGGGCTAGGGATGTTATTTAAAGTCTGGGACATCTTTTTATAATCAAGATAATTCCTTCCTTTTTTTTTTTTTAAGAAAAAGGTAAAAGATAATTCAATTATTAATAACCTACATGTGGGAGAAGCTACTGATATCAGATTGCTTTTTAATGAGGTAGAAGAGACACTGAAGAATTAAAAATAGAAATATGGAAAATAAATAAGATTTCACAACCTCCCCAAGCAATCTATCTCATTGCTCAACTATCCTTGCCTCCAAGCAGGCTATTCTAATAAATACCTCAAGCCACACTTGATGCAATGTAACCACTCCCCCCCCCCTTTTTTTTTTTTGGTAAAAAAGCACAGTCCTTTGACTATTAGAAGGATATTACACTTTCGCTCTACTGTAAATGAAATAACACCAATTCTTTCAATCAAGTTTTCTGAACCACTGATCATTCACATAGCTTTCCTCTGGACTCTCTCCAGTTAGCTCAAGTCTGAAATAGCTTTGATGAAGCCTCAGATAGAATGCTAAGCTGAAATTATTATTTTACATAGTTGTCTCACAACTTTGTACATTCTGCTATATTTGTCTTTTTGTAACCAAATGACGCTGTTGACTCAGGATCAACTAGTCATCTCTTAAAAGCTCCAGATAGTTTCTGCAAAACTGGAAGGTCTGGCTTTAAAATATTATTCCTTTTCCTCTCAACATCTCCCATCCCTTTTTGATTATACATTTAAAAATATGCACATAAAACATAAAGAAAATGGGAAAAGGAGGAAAGCAGTTGTTTAATTTTAACTAAAATTAAAACTACTGCAAGGATAAATGGAACCAGAAAGAAGGTAGAAGAAAGCATCTTTCCATAAGGAAATAAAGAATATTAAGACAGTCACCTAGTAAATGTACGCTGCCAAAGTAATCACTACTCTAGGAAAAAGCTCAGCACATGGAGGGATTTAGCAAAAATGTTAATACAGAAACATACAAGAAAAATTTACTGGATTAAAAAAAAGCTAATGACTGATCACCACAGCAGATGAACAGTTTAGAGCTGAGCAGTATAGAACTTAAAGCTGAGAGAGATACAAGCTTTATTTTAAGCTTACTGGTATCTTAGTATGCAACTTGGGAAAAGTTACAACCTTTGGCTTTCATTTTCTCCCCACTTTTGAAAATGGTGTTATTAATACTTTAGGAAACAGCTCTCGAGGACAAAAAGGGAGATTAAGTAAATTTGCTATTATTACCTAAAACTCCATCACGGTTATGTTTGAATGCAATTTGGCTATTAAGCCCTGCAGCTGCTATCCTAAACATTATTATAGAACTTCATTTTTAAATGACTGGCTTTACAAGCTCCACAAGCATGGCTCCCAGTCAAATGAAACATTACCAAGTGTTAACTAAGCTACTTTACCGTTTTATTTCTCTCAAAGAATTTAGGCATTTTACTTAAAAATCACAACAGAGCAAATGTGCACCCAAGACATTCTTGCCCACAAGGGTAGATTCACCAGACAGTTCAGCAAAGCTGCATGCACGCGACCCTGCTCCGGGTCTTCGTGTCTATGGCATTGGTAATATGCTGCCTATCTGATGCAAAGCAGAGTCCAACTATAACAGCATCAACATCAAAAATTAAGCTTTCTTTATATGTGGCTAACTAGGGAACAGAAAACGTGTGTGGCAGGAGTATTTCTGTTGTGGGGAGGAGATTCAAAATTAACATGATCCTGGGATGGAGAAATCATTCCTTCAATGTGTGTTTTCTCTGAGACGCCAA